TAGCTGCTCGAGGCACTTGAGTTTGATTTCTGGGCCCACATGATGTTGGAAGGAAACTAGCTAGTCCTCTAACCTTCACGTGCACACCATGGCACTTGCAGGCTCCTCCCATAGGTGAATAAAATGTAAATAAAAAAACAAGACTTTTCAGGGAATTCATGAGATCAAAACTGCTTTCGGCACAGCAGGCAAACGCCACATTCCTGTTTGTCTACTCTCTCAAGAGTATATGGTATTTTTTTTATTTTTTATTTTTGGCAGCTTCTCATGAGATACAGCCGGAGGCTGAATGCAGAAGCAGATGTGAGAGTCCAGCTGTGCTCTGTCAAGCCAGAGGGATTTGAAAAGTAGAAAACAGTGGCATTCTTCTCATTCACTTTTCTTTGTCAGTGCTGGGAATCTAACCAAGAGCCTCCTATATGCTAGGCTCTACCAGCCCCACTCCTAATCCCTTGTTAGCTTTTTTGGCTTTAGAAAATACTATTTCTCATTAAAATATTATTTTCATAAAAATATGTCTTCCAGGAGTATGTGAAATGAATTTGCTATGACTTTACTTCATTGATACATAATTTAAAGATTCTAGTTTTAAAGACAGGGTCTCATATAGCCCAAGGTAGCCTTCTAACTCTTTCTGTAGCAGAGAATAGCCTTGAACTTCATTTGTTTGTTTCGAGACAGGGTTTCTCTGTATAGCCCTGGCTGTCCTGGAACTCACTCTGTAGACCAGGCTGGCCTCGAACTCAGAAATCCACCTGCCTCTGCCTCCCAAGTGCTGGGATTAAAGGCGTGCGCCACCAATGCCCTGCTAGCCTTGAACTTCTGATCCTCCAGCCACTTGAGAACCGGGGCTACAAACCTGTGCTGTGAAGCCACTACACTGTGTCTGTGCAGCCCTGGGTATTAAGACCAAGGCCTCACGCATGGTAGAGAAGCAGCCTGCCAGCTGAGCTACACCCCCAGCCCAAGACAATTTCGTGTTTGTGATGGACATGCTAATGGATGACAGATAAAATCCGTGCACAGGAAAGCCTTTTAGAATTCCTCTCATCCACAAGTGCAGAGAGTCATCCGGAGACTGTGCTGAACAGGGCCTGTCCTGAAGAGCACAGGACCCAGAAGAGAGCACTGGTTTCCTCCATGATAGGCCTGCAGGGTGCATGCAAATTTTCACTATTACAGTATGCTTGTGAATCAGGGTACCTGCTCCCTGTGAGTGGTACCCCAGGAAGGTGAACAGATGAAGTTCAGATGGGCATGTGGGAGGTGGGGGGTGGGGAGGACTGTATGTGTGTGTGAATGTGTGTGTGTGTGTGTATGTGTATGTATCAGTTTCCAGGGAGGACAATTTCTCTGTACAGAGTACAGAATTTAGAAGCTTTTAAGCAAGTTGTGGTGGTTTGAATCAGAATGGGTCCAATAAGCGCATACATTTGAATGCTTAATCATGAGGGAGTGGAACTCTGATAGGATTAAAAGGAGTAGGTGTGGCTTTGTTAAAGTAGGTGTGGCCTTGTTGGAGGATGTATGGGAAGTGGGTTTTGAGGTTTCAAAAACCCATGCTAGGTACAGTTCTCTCTCTCTCTCTCTCTCTCTCTCTCTCTCTCTCTCTCTCTCTCTCTCTCTCTCTCTCTCTCTCTCTTTCTCTGCTTGTGGATCAGAATGTAGTTCTCAGCTATTTCTTAAGCACCATGGCTGCCTGTCAACATGTTCCCTGTAAGCCTGCCCCAGTTAAATGTTTTCTCTTATAAGAGTTGCCGTGGTCATGGTGTCCCTTCACAGTAATGGAAACCTAAGACACAACTTGACAGAGAAGTTTTGTTTTGTTTACTGGTGAAAATAATAATAATAGTGATGATGATGTCTGGAGGTTAAAAATGCTAGAAACATTAGGAGGCAGAGGCTGGTAGATCAATGTGAGTTGAAGGTCAGTCTGGTTCACATAAAAAATTTCTGCCCAGCCAGAGTTACACATAGTGAGACTCTGCTTCAATTTTTCTTTTTAAATCTGCAAACATTTGAGTACTTCTCTGTGTACCTCAGGCAGGCCTTGGACGTGTGATCTTCCTGCTTCAGCCTCCTGAGCCCTGGGATTCTAGATGTGTGTGTTACCATGTGAGACACCTTATTTATTCGTTTGTTTGCTTGTTAGTTGAAGACACGGTCTTGCTATAGTTCTGGAATTTGGTATGTAGCCGTCTCTGCTGCCCCAGTGCTGGGACCACAGGCTTATGCTTCCATGTCTGTTTGCTAACATTCTATATACCCCAGCTGGGCAGATTCTCGAGATGGAATGCTGGCTGGTAGCCATGTGTCTTCAGAGGTGAACAGGGCCTCCCAGCATCTCCGGGCTCCTTACTCATGTTCTCTCTCCACAGGGTTGCACACCTGTTCTCTGGTACTCCGAAACCTCCTCGTTGTCTACAAAACGTCTTCTGTGAATTGCTTATGGAGGTCTTTTGTCCACTTTCCTTTTGTACTGATTTTTTTCTGGAACTTTCTATGTTCCAAATACAACCTTTCATTTGTTATGTACTGAAAACATTCTGCTTAAGCCTGGGTTTCCTTTTAACTTTGTCTAGCGCCTCATTGTAGTACAGGAACTTAGTTGTTTAAAAATACATTCTATTGTACCAATCGCTTCCCTGATGGTTTGGGGAGATGCTTTGGCATACCAAGCTTTTCCACACAGCATGATTTTTAAAAAGTTCTCCTGGTGCCAGTGAGGTGACTCTGTGGATGAAGGGGCTTGCTGCCAACTGCTGATGACCTGAATTCATTACCTGGGACCTATATGACAGAGGGAAGGAACTAGCTTCTGAAAGGACTTTGACTGCACACATGCATCATCATGGCACAGACTCTAACACACATACACACACAACCCCCCCACTAACATATCACACATGCATACACACACCACACACACACACACACACATATATATATATGCACACACACACGCACATACACACACTACTAACATATCACACATACATATACATACACACACACCACATATATACACATACCACACACATATACAAACTACATACACACCACAGACACACTCACACACATACCATACACACATATATACCATACACATACACACCATATATATACATCACATACACACCACTAACACATCACACATATACACACTGCATACGTATGTACACACACTGTACATATACACAGACCACATATACACCACATATATAGACACATATATAGACACACACAGACCCACACTACACACATATATACACATACTACAGACACACATACATACCACATCCGTACACACCACATACACACATCACATACACACTGCTAACATGTCACACATACACACCATACACATATACACATACCACACACATACATATATATACATTGCACAAACATACAGACCATATACACACAGACTATATACACACAGACCATATACACACACCACACACACACACACATCACATAATCACATACACATAACACAGACACATGCACACACACCCCACACACATACATACATCCCCACATCACATACATTCACACAGACTCAAAGTAATAAATATAATTTTAAAAATAATATAAAAAACCTTTAAAAATGTTTTCTACTTTTTTTCCGATATACCATCACTCCTCTCTGTTCTATCCCTCTCTCCTTCTCTTCCTTCCTTTGATAAAAATCTTCCATATGTACCTGCTTCAACCTCCCAGGTTCTGGAATTATAGCTGTACACCACCTGCCAGGTTCTCTCCTCTCCTTTCTTCCTTTCCCCATTCTTTTGCCCCCACACACATTAAACATTTATATCGTCACTCCATCAAGAACTTTTGCTGTACAGAAAGGTACCAAGTGTTGACTCTGGTGAGTTATGAAACAGAACATGGCATGGTGCAGGCAGTGGCTGCGTCCCACATCCCAGGGATCCACAGGCCCACACAGCGGCCTGGAGCTGAGCTAGCCCCCATAAAAGAGACCTGATCTGGTCTGGAAGGCGAGGCAAGCTGCATCTCAGAAATCCATAAGCTGAGCTCACAACTTTAGTAAGGAAACAGTAATCCATCTCTACTGTGTGGCTCTAGAGTGACTGTCACCAAGGTAACTGCCAGTGCAGCTCCTGGGCAACATCCATGTCTATCTGTTCCTACTTGAGACCCTGTGGCCAATGCAGGATGAGTAGCTATGACCCTGCTTTATCAGTTCAGGGAAACGAAGGGCAGAACTGTTGAGAGACACCGGAAGGCCTCTTGGCTGGCAGGTGGGGAAAGCCCATTCCTCCGGCGACTAGGTCACTGCTCCTTAGACCTTTATGACATCTAGCTGTGTCCTCAGGGACATTGTAGCTGGCCCTGTGGAGGGAAAGAGACCTGTCCTATACATCCCCAAAGCTGTGCTTCCTCTGGGGGAAGAAAGCCTGGAAATTGTCCTGCCACCAGCTGACTGCGTATCTAGAACCAGTGTTTTCTTCTATGAGCACCTCCTCCTGGAGCTGGGATGAGTCAGGCTAGGACCGGGAACTCAAGCATAAACAAGCAAAACTGACAGCAAGCACTTTGCCTGAGGCGCGTGACCTCCCATGGGCCTCCTGGGACTGTGCCTGGATGGCTACATCGACAAAATCGACAAAATCGCAGCAGGAAGCTTTGTGGGTTTAACCTGTGGCAGCCACGTAAGCAGCCCGGTGGTGAAAGCCTCCAGGCAGGAAGTGGGCACCAGGGGCTCAGCAGATGGTGGCCAGCCTCCCAGCAGAGGGCAGTTCCCTAAGAGTACAGGTTTCTGCGGATCCAAAAGTACCCATAGCTGTCTCTGCTGTCCTCCAGCTCTATACCAAATGGACATTGAAATAGAATGGCAGGGCCCAAGCTGTCCCCAGAGACAGGTGTGATCCAGTCCTCCAGGCAGAGACTCATCTGGATGCACAGATCTCAGGCCTCCCCAGTCCAGCCTTGTTCTCAGTCTGAATCTCAGGGCAACCAGGGCCACTTACCTGTTCCAGCGGGATGACGAGGAAGGAGCCACCTCCTGCGCTCTCAGTGACTATGGCCAGGAAGCGGGCATTGACTGCACAGAAGTGGTTGTCATGTACATTCTTGGTGATGGGGATCCCGTCAAAGCAGTTCTCCCTGTTGGCCACTTTCCCGTAGACGTTCCGAAACTTGGAACTTCGGTACTGCGGTCGCCAGGACATCTGCAAGGGACCAGCAGAGGCAGGGTTAGGCTGACCACTACTTCATGGAGGAGCTGGACACGGCACTGGAGAGTCAGAGGTGAAGGGAGCAATGGGTCCCTTGGGCCCGCCCATTTTCATGGAGGGATGAGGGGCAATGGACCCACCAAGAGCACGTGACCTAGAATGTGCTTGGCTGCTTGCCTACAGGGGCTTGCTGACACAGAGCCTGGCATGAGAGCGTTCACAACATTCCTGCTATGGTCCACATGCCCAACCATCTTCTGGAAAGAGTGTAGCGTCCTCCTCTCTCTACCAATGATAATGACATGCGATACGGTAAGCCAGCCACACATGGGACGGTGTCCTGACTGCCCAACCTCATTTCACTCAGCCCCGGAGGTTAAGGAGGCTGCATGTTTACTACTGAGGACAACGTTAGTGGCAGAGGGGGGAGCATCACCTTATGCTCAAGGAAGCAAGCCACCGTATTTCATCACCTCCTGCTCTGATTCTTTCTAGAATCTCTCCCCCATGAGCATGCCCTCAAAAACCTCTCTGTTCCACAGCTCATTGCTGCCACTAACAAAACACTCTCCTCAACAGGCACAGAAAGGCTACGTGACTGAGACAAGGCCACACAGATGAGTGTCCTGGAGGGGAAGGCACTGGGTGTTGGGCCTTTTGAGTCTGGGATGAAGTCCTCCAAAGATCACCCACGTCAGAACCACCGACAGTGGGGGTAGTCGCTGAGTTCCTGGGTCATTTCTTGAAAATATTGTTCCTGGGTCCCACTCTGGGCCTAAAGAACCCACTGCAATATTTTAGGAGTGTGGTCCAACACTCAGCAAGCTGACCCAGTTTCCTTGCCCCCTTGCCCACCCCCAAATGACACAGAAGCACCCTGAAGTTTGAGAGTCCTTGTTCTATAGACTAGAGGAGGCCCTCCTCAGCTGACCCTGACCACCATTCATAGTCTAGGCTCTGACCAGTCAGCAGGTTCTACTTTTGATGTGTTTGGAGAGTGAGTGGAGTGGAGGAACTATGGTGACCTTCTATGGGGTGGTGCCTTTTGCAGGGAAGCCATACCAGTCTTGTAGTGAGCTCAGCCTGGGCCACACACAGCAAGCACTCAGTTAGGCTCTGTGCAGTGACCATGGACCTGGCTCACAAGCTGTGCACTTGATCTTAGCCAAAAGGTCAAGAAGGAATCTTGTTTTTGTTTGAGACAAGACCTCAATATACAGCTCTGACTCTCCTGGAGTTCACTGTGTAAGTCAGGTTGTTCCCGAACTCACAGAGAAATGCCTGGTTCTGCCTCCCAAGTGCTGGGAGATGAAAATTTACTTTTAGCAAGTGTATTGAAGGACCGTGAAAGGACAGCATGGTTTCTGGTCAAGCACCAGCTAGAAATCGACGGAGACCCCGGGTGATCCTAAGGGACGGCATGCATTTTGCCATGCTCCCAGACTCCAGGCTCCTGACAGGAGGCCAAAGACCTCCATAGAGTGGGGGCCTTTCAGCCATGTAGGACAACACCCACTAGCCCCTCCACAGGTAGAGGGCAAGACTACAGGTCACAGAGCCTCAAGACAGATCTCCATATTAATTAGGTACCTACAGGCCAGAGGCGTGTAGCCAATTAAACATTGCTTCCCAGACCCTCCTCCTTGCAAAAGGTATTTAACCTCAGGCCCGCCCTGAGAAACGGGGGTATAGTTTTCATCCATTTTTCCACCATGACAATAAATGTCTTAAGACCATGGACTATTTTTCTTCTTTGGCACCCACTGTGGGGAACATTGGAGCAGGTCTTCATCTAAGAACTCTGCATTCCCAGTCACAGAGACCAACCCAGTCACTCAAGCCAAGCGAGCAGCCGCCACAGCCAAGTGTGCCGCAGTGACCAAGCCAGGAATTCTCATCCTGCAGGACGTAGCCTTAGCTCATCCCAACCCCCTCTCCTCTTCCTGTGGGCCAATCGAGCTCGTATGCCCCCACTTCATTCTTGACCCTTCTGGGCTGGGGCCCAAGGGCCAGAGAACCAGCCGGTTCCCGGTCACCTTTTGGCCCGGGGACCCCCAAGCCATAAACTCTGGCTCCCACGGGACCTCAAATTGTGTTCCCCACCCCCGAGTGGAGTCCCTCAGCTTCACATAGCCTGATGTCCTATGTCTGTCTGACACCAGAGTGGAGTAAATGCAATCAAATTCTTGCACCTCTGTCCCCAACAGAGGTAGGTCCTAGATATGTGGCAAGACAGAGGCGGGACCCACACATCAACCCAACAGGTCCCATGCACACTACAACTCAACAGTGTGTGTTATTTTAATACATTAGAAAAAATAACACATATTCCAGACTTTTGATGTCACAGATACTATTGTGGATGAGTGCTAATGAGGCAGAAAAAAATAAAGAGAAAGAGGAGGAAGAGTAGGTAGAGGAGAAAGAGGAGGAAGAGGAGGAGGAGGAAGAGGAGGAGGAAGAAGAGGAGGAAGGGGAAGAGGAGGAAGGGGAAGAGGAGGAGGAGGAAGAGGAGGAGGAGGGAGAGGAGGAGGAAAGATCAGTTTTAAAATATGGTATGAAAAATATACTACAGGTCTTCAGAGCCATCCCAGTAAGAAATTATAGAAATCATGCTGTCCCTGCAAAGTAGAACATTCCAGATTCCAGTTCCATAGGGAGGTGCTGTGTTTGCTCATTCCAGTCTCTGCCAGTTGGCCATGCCCTTTTTTTCCTGCCTAGCCACAGCTTAACCTCAGGGCTAGCCTCAGAGCTGACCTCAGACCTGTTCTTGCTCCTGGTATCGCCCTCAGTCCAGGTTCCCCTTGGGGACAGCAGGAAGAGGGACCAGGGCCTTCTGAGCAGTGCTGAGCTCCAGCAGGCTGTTCCTGGCTTGCCCAGCAGGGTTCTGCAGTCAGGAAACCCCTTTAGGTCCCTGGCCTGATGATGGTCTAGCTCCTCCCACATCCTCAAGGGAGCCTCACACAGCAGAAGGCTGAGAGCTCAGATAACCTCCTAGTGCCAGTCCTTCCAGTGCCTGAGTGCCGAGACCTGCTCATTTCCAGTGAAGACCACACTGTGAGGCCTCCTGGGAGCTTCAAGGGAAGGGTGACAAGCCTGGTCTGGAATCTACACAGACCTCCATTCTAGTTCCATCATTCTGCAGAGCGGCTGTGTGGCTTGAGCAAGCCTCTGACCGTCTCTGGTCTCTATCAGCTCTCACAGAGGATTATTAGTCATTTCCCCGGACATGGGCAGAGTCAACGCCAAGTTGCCCAGCTCGTGCCCAGCACAGGGCACGCCACCTGAGCCTCCCACACCTACATTTATTTACCCAAGATGCTCCTGAGGAGCCCTCAGCTGCATGTCTCAGCTGACACCATTTACACCACAGATGCCTCCCCGTTCCTCTCTCTTTCCTTTTTCCTGCTCTCCACCATTCCCTGTCCTTTCCCCTCTCTCTGCTTGGCTCAGCTCCCAGATCTCAGGTACAGTGACAGACAAGACACCTATGTGGCTGGTTCTTGATAGGCATGCTGACACTCTGTCTCCTCTGCCTCTTTCTAGAACACGTAGCCCAGGCTGCCCTCAAAGATGATATGTAGCTCAGGATAACCTTGAACTCCTGGTCCTCCTGCCTATATCTCTCAAGGACTACGGGTGTGGGATATCCCTGCAGGATTGGTTAGTGCCGTGCTGGGGAACCAAACCTGGAGCTTCATGAGTGCTAGACAAGCTCTCTATCACCCGAGCTACAACCTTAGCCTCTACTTTTGCATGTCTTCATTTTTTGATATGGACTCTCTATGTAGCTTTGGCTGGTCTTGAACTCTCCACGTTTGGCCATACAGAGTCACTTTATAAACAAGGTTAGTTCAAAGCTGAGGCTAAAAGCTGAGGTCGGCAGAACCATCTGTGAAATGTGCTCCTCACTCTCTTTAAGATTTGGGGCTCTGTGTTCAGAGAGCCTCCAGGGTAAGAAGTTCTTCCTCTTGAAGTCTCCAGGGCAAGGTACACAGCAAGGCTACATGGCTATGGTCATGGACACCTAGGTAGGGAAACCTTTCGAATGATGGGTGCATGCTGGGAAGGGGGCATCTGCTCTGCCCAGCGTTTAGACGATGACATCATCTCTCTCTGGCCCTATGGTCCCACACTGGACCCTATACTCTGGTCCCTTTCAAACTGCAGCTTCAAAAACAAAGAGCTTGGCCCCCTGTCACTTGGCAGCGGGGGGTGGGGGGGAAAGGAGGCCGAAAAGGTGTCTCCAGGGAACTTGGTGACAAGGCTTGGCTGCCCCTCCTCTAAGATGACCACTAAGTGGGGGGGGAGGCTGCTAGTGGGAGCTGTGACATCTCTGTTGGAGAGAGGAAGTATACCTCAGCAGTCTAAATAACTAGAACTCTACTACTGTCAATCATAGGTAGGAAAGTAGGAGTTGCGTTCCCTTGCTCATAAAGAAGCTGGTGCCAAGCCATGTGCCATGTGTGTGTGTGTGGGGGCATCTCCGAAGAAGCCTTAGAAACCCTTCAAGGGGCCTCATCGGCTGAAGGCTTTGAAATTGGAACGGCAACTTTCTGATTGAACTTCACGTTGCTGAGAAAATAAAAGGGGCTTTGTACAGAAACCCTGTTGTAACTCTTGGTGCTCTCTGCTTGGCCCCTTCTGCCTTGCAGGAAGAATCTGAGTTAGCAAGGAAGGGGGCATCTCTATGATCCTTGACCAACAATTCCCGAACAAGCGCCTCTGCTCCCCCACCTCACAAGGGAAGCATATTCATCCTAGGTGATTGTGTTGTGTTCCACGTGACCTTTCACCCAGAGTACTCCTCAGAGAGAGTGACTTACTCTGGGGATGGCAGGCTAGCCAGCTGCTCCTCTTGAAGAGCATATATGAAGGCACATTGAGCCATCGTGGGCAGCAGAGGCCGGATATGCAGCTGAGGGAACAGGGTGGAAAAAAGAGGGGAGGGGCATGCAAAGGGGGAAGTCTGTGTCTTCATCCTTGCATGTTTG